CAAGCTGTTTAATGGCCATGATTCCAGAGACTCAGAAACAAATCTCGAAACCCAGTGGCTTTTGGCAGAAATGCGTCTGGACCCCGTAGTCGGTTACTGTTGCCGGGCCGCCCCAGGGGGGGAAGGGTGTTGTCCCTCCGCCTGCTCCCCTTAGGTGGCTCGGTGGCCGCCATCCTCCAGAGGCCATTGGGCAGTCAGGTTTGGGCCCTAAGTGATGAGAAATGTGGGGCCTCACAGGATGAGAGAGGAGCTGGCCCTGTCCTCCCCATCCCAACAAGACCCCAAGTCACCACCCATGAATGGCCTTTCTGGCTCCTGATCAAGCTGCTTAACGGCCATGATCCCAGAGACTCAGGAACAAATCTTGGAACCAAGCAGGTTTTTACAGAAATCCCTCCAGATTTAATTGTTAAAACTTTGGAATTCCAAAATTTTGTGGCCACTACTACGCCACGTGACACCATATGTTATTTATAACCAGCAACAGAAAACAAATTGTCTAGTGTTGCCTTTTCAGCAGATCTGAGTGTTGGGGTAAAATTCCAAATAATGGTGGGTCTGGTGTCAAAATACTGAATGTAATCAAAGTAGAGAGAAATATGGAAACCATCTGCCCTACAGATAGGGGGAGGGTGTGGGATGGGGGCATACTGGGGTTTTTGGTGGTGGAGAATGAGGACTAGTGAAGGTATCGGTGTTTCATTGTATGACCAATATTTAAACCCGAAAGCTTTGTAACTGCTCTCACGGTGATTCAATAAATAAAACTACAAAAAATTTTAAAAAAAAGAACTGAAAGAAACCCCCCCCAAAAAATACTGAATGTCTGTACTTCTGATATTCAATAGTTATAATCAATAAATACTGTAAGCTGAGGACAGTTGGGGCTCTCGGTCCACGAAGCTATTAGTCCCCAATCTCGTGCTTTTTCTCTTTTTGTCTGTTCCCCCCCCCCCCCCTTAATCCTCACAACACTCCCGCTTCAAGCCTATTCACCTAGGGCTGGTTCCTGACCAAAAAAAAAAAAGCATCACGACTAAAGCACTGCAACTAAAGAAATGTTAAAGAAATGTACCTGCAGCACAGAACTACTAAGTTGTGCAAGCACCACAGCCAACAACCAAGCGTGCAAATAAGTGTGAGAGAGTGTGTGGGTAGGTGTTGCGCGAGTTTATGTGTGCGCATGACATCAACAGAGGAAAAGAAGGGGAAAATTTTAAATATGTACACTGAGAAAAAAAGAGGTAAATATTACTTGATCACTACAGAAGAGGCAGATATCAAAGTAAACGAGAAAATAAGAGGTCAAAAATTTCCCAAAATCCACATAGAAAAACAGAAGTAACTTTTGTATGGCACTGCCATTAAAACAATAAGTTTTCTAAATGTGAATGGCTGAATTTGCCAAAGGCAGAGAGTGTCAGAATGGAACAGGAAAAAGAAAAGAGGTGTGCATGTGGGGTGGGGGGGAAGTGGACAACATTCTTCTGTTTACAAAAGATCCACCTGAACTATAATCATAACACAGACTCAAAATAAAAAGTGCAATGGGGTGGGAGCATACCACACATTGAATACTTCCCATGATCCTCCAAGAGCAACTCCCAACGACGGAGCCAGAAATTGCCCCCAGCACACTGGTGAGGACCAAAACCAAACACTAATTATTTTAATTTTTTGTGTTTATCGCTGGGGCGATAGTACAGTGGTAGGGCGTTTGCCTTGCACGCAGCCATCATGGCCGATCCGAGTTCGATTCTCCGCCCCTCTCGGAGAGCCCGGCAAGCTACCGAGAGTATTCGATATGCCAGACACAGTAACAACAAAGTCTCCAATGGAGACGTTACTGGGCCCGCTCGAGCAAATCGATGAACAATGGGAGGACAGTGACAGTGACAGTTTTTATTTAGCTCTTTTGTACTTAGTTGTCTATAGGCTCTCATTCTCATTCATGTACAGTGGTTCGGGGGCTTGCATTGCATATTGCAGACCCAGGCTTGATCCCTGGCACCACTCTGCTGCTGCGGAGCCCTACCAGGAGTGATCCCTAAGCACAGAGCCAGGGAGTAAGGCCTGCGCACCACTGGGTGTGGCCCAAAAACAAAACTAAAATAGAAATTTAAAGTAAATTTTTTAAAAAAGTGGGGATTGTTGCCTACTGAGCAACTAAAAGAATGCTTGATTTTTCATTCCCCCTTTGACCTGCTCAAAGCTGGGCAACTTCCCAGTACAGGAGGTTTCAGTTTGGGGAAAATGCACCCTCGTAAATGATTTGTAAATGATGTATGAGGAACAGCACAGTCTCTATGGATATGTCAAAACTGTGACAAAGCAGGCCGCTCCGACCGGTAGCATTAGGTTGAAAGGGTCACCAGGTGGCTCTGCCCACTGTGACTGACCAACAGTGCATGGCTCTATTCATCGTCCCATCCACTTTCCCACGTCCCATCCCCTTTTCCTTTCTTTTGGGTGGGCTGTGGAAACATACTTAAGTCTGTACCTGTGCTCTGAATAAACGCACGCACGCATTCATGCCATCTCCTGAATGACGGAACCCTGTGTGACTAGAGTGCTGATTTCACCATGACGGCCCTCCCCTGGCTCGGCCCCACAGCGCCGGACGCGGCAGGGATGACTGTACCATTAGTTGCATCAAACTCGATTGCAACTAAAAGATAATGAGACAGGGATGGAAGATATGTGATTAAAAGATTCATATATCAGAGGACTGAATACTCACTGACCTATGTGCTAAATAATCATCAACTTATAAAGCATGGCCAAGAGAGATATCACATGGTTTCAGATGTCTTCCTTGTGTACAGCTGAATTCAGCTCAATCTCTGTGAACAAGCACTAGAGTGATCCTCAGAACAAAGCCTTGGAGCACTATCAGTGTGACTTAACCCTAATCCCCCAAATAATCAAGCAACTACTAATAGAACTAAAGAAACACAAATCAAATAATACAATTATAGTAGACACTTTACTATTTCATTCTCACCACTGAACAAATCAACCAAACTGAAGAATCTGTGAAGGAAAAAGAGCCTTAAATAAAGAATTAGAAAAGCTAGGGTTAATAGATAACTACAAGGTTCTCTACACACAAATCTCCAAACAAATTCACATCCTCCGATACACATGGAACATTTTCCAGTATGTCACATGCTGAGACACAGAACAAGTGTCAATAAAATCATAAAAACTGAAATCATATCAAGTATCTTTTCAGATTACAATGCTATTCAGATAGACAATACCCATAAAAATAAATAAATAAATAAATAAATAAATAAAGACAGGAAAATACAACCTACTACTGAATAACTACCAGGTCAAGAAGAAAATAAAAGGAAAACTATTTAATTTCCTAGTAACAAATGAGAATGAAGGCACAATCTATCAGAATATATGGAACACAGAAAAAGCAGTATGCTGAGGGAAATTCACAGTAATACCAGTCTACATTGGGAAACACAAAAAAAGTTCAAATAAACAATCCAAACACAACCCAAGAAAGTAGAAAAAAAAAAACAGTACATTGTTGAACAATGTTGGCACATTGTATGGCTGAAAATCATTATCAACTTTGTAACTATATCTCATGGTGATTCTCATATAAATTTTTAATAAGTATTTCATGTGCTCTAAACTAATTTAAATTGAGTTTACATGCAGTTATTCCCAACTAAAAAACCTACTGCCCAAAACTGGAAAATACTACAACCATTTTTACACAATAAATACCTATATGAAATTTTTTTCTTGAAAAAATTAAATGATACTACATTGGCATCAATGTAAGGAGAATGGCTATGGTAAAAAAAAATAGGAATATATAAAATATTTGTATAAACATATAAATAAAGAGAAGCCCGAGAGCAACATGTGGCTGAGCAAAGCCAGAAAGATAGTTCAAAGAGTTGGATCGCATGCTTCAGGAATCCCATAGCGTACACATGGTTCCCTAAGCATCTCCAAAAGCAACCCCCAGGACCAAAATGAAAGTATCCCCAGCACCGCCAGGCGTAGTCCAAAAAACAAAAAGTGGCTGAGCAGAACCAGAGATTTTTGCAACCACCAAAAAAAAAAAGGTTAGAGAAATGGTATTAAGCTGTATTTCTAAAAAGTAGGAAGCAGTCTACAGCAAAGGAACATAAACAAGGAACTAACATCATTTGATCGCCATCGACCATTTCTTTCCACCCTTTTATGCTGAAAGTTTGTTTTTTTTCATCATTTCATCTAAAGGTTTAAGAGATCACAGTTTTGACAGTTCCACTTGCAATCACTTAGAAAACACCAGCACAGTGTAGGGAGACAGCTCAGGGCTAGAGTGCCTGCTTTGTATGAGGACTAGGTTCAATCCCTGGCATGTCCGGGACCACAAGTACCCTGAGCATTGACTAGTGGGTCTTCCAAGCACCAGTGGTTGTGGTGGCCTTCCAAAAAAAAATAAATAAACATTAAAGAATAAAGCTCAGGCTAGGTTCAAGAGGTGAGAAAGAGTGTGGGGTGCTAGAGCACTCTGCCTTTCACCCATATCTGTTCAAACTCAAGGAAAATGGAGAAGTTCAAAACTGTTAAAAAAAAAACTTACAACTCCCTAATTCCTAACTGAGACAAAGCCAGAGTAACAGAATGATATTCAAATCAAACCTTAGATCACAGATCAGCCGAGCAGAACAGAGTCCAGAAACAAACGAATGCACGCACGGTCCATTTCAATTGACACCAAAGAGTAAATACGCAACCGCAGAGGGGATGAGAAAGGTCAAGAGATACAAACTTTCCATTTGCGATGTACCACGCGGCAACTTTAGTAAACTGCCGAGTTTCAAAACGATGTTAAATATTCATGAAGATCGGTGTTCATCGCGTCCACATGCCACTAACGCAACATTCAAAGACACTTTGAGTGTTTGGTAATCACATTTAAAATCAAAACCAGCAGAGCCTATGACAGGTCAGCAGTTCAGGTCTAGCACGATGGGATACATCTAACAAGATACATCTTGTTGGGATACATCTAAGAGGAACTCGGGAAATTCCGGATCAGCCGTGGGGCAAGAAGCTGACTGTCTCCAAGCCTGGAGGCATCTGGGTTGGCATCCAATCATTTCAACGAGGTGTGAGGTCCGGGAATGTGGATCCTAGCATCCCCGGGCGGGGGGGGGACACGAAGGTCAAGTGACTGTTGCGGCCAAACGCGGGAGGGTGGTGGGCGGACGCATCCCCGGGGGAACCGAGGGAGAAGTGAGACTCGGGGCTCCTTCTCCGGCAAGTGCAGTATCAAGTCTGTCCCTGCCCAGATCCAGCGGGTCCCGCTCTCCTCGGAGGCTCAGGAGCCCCGGGACAGCTGGGCGGTTGGCTCCGCGTGGCCCCCACGACCCCCACGGCCCCCACGCCCGCCGCCCGCACCCACCTTCTGCTGCAGGTAGCGAGTCGAGAACTCCCGGGCCCCCGAGCTGCGGGCCTTGGAGCCGGGGGCCGAGTGCAGACCCCCGAAGGCTCTCAGGGCGGGCGGGACGCGGGCGGTGGCGCCGGCCGTCAGCGAGGCGACCACCAGAACCGCCAGGGCCCCGAGCCCCATGGCTGGCGGCCGGCGGCGCGGGTGCGGGTGCGGGTGCGGGTGCGGGCGCCGGGATCCGGGGGACGCGCGCAGACCGGCCCGGCCCGGCTCGGCTCGGACCCCGCCCGCCGCCGCCAGGCTCCTCCCCGGGGAAGCCCGGGCCCGCCCCCAGCGCCGTCCTGCAGCGCGGTCGCCCCCCGGGGCTGGAGAGGCAGCTCGGTGGCCGGCGAGGTGGTCCCCCAGCACCACCCGCGTCCTGGCCGGCCGCGACCCGCACCCGCCAGCGTCCCTCGCCCCGCGCCCCCGGCCCCCGGCCTCGAAGGCTCGGGCGGCGAGCGCAGCCGGCGCGGGCAGGCGGGGATTCCCACGCACGCGCGAGCCGAGGGCCGCAGAGGAGACCACCGGGCGGCTCCCCCACCGCCCACCCGCACGGACCCGCCCTCGGGGGTCGCGCGGGTCCCGGACACTCCCGGAGCCGCCGTTCTCCCCGGCCGGGACGTCCCGCGGAGCCATCGCGTCCTTCTCAGGGTCTGCGCGCCCCTCGCCCACTGCACCCCGACTCATCGCCTCACCCCGACCCCGTCACCCAGCCCCCGCGCCCCCCATCGGGTCCCCGCCCCGCAAGACGCCGCTTCACACCTCCAGCCCCGCCCCCGGGACTTTTAAACACCCAGCGGGGCGAGCACGTGATCCCGGCGACCGGCCTTCTGATTGGCTCTGAGGCGCCCCGGCCGCGCGTCACTTCCGGCGGAAGGGGCGGCGGGAGATTCGAGCGGAAGGCGGGTGGCTGCCGGCTCGGCTGCCGGCCCGGAGGACGCGGCTCCCCGGGACCCTCGGGTGAGGAGCTCCGGGGCGGGGGTTTTCCGGGAGCCCCAGGGAGGGCCGGAGCCGCCCCCGCGAAGCCCTTCGCAGTCGGTCCCCCTCGGCCACGGGCGGGGGCTGGGAGGCGTCCGGAGCAGCGCGGACTCGGTTGGCCTGCGGGTGGGGCTCTGCCCGGGGCGCTGCCGGGGCCGCCGGTTCCCGACTGCTCGGTGGGGAGAAAGGGCTCGACTCTGTGGTGCCTCCCCCCCGCTCTTCCCGCCAGTTTAGGGTCACCTGAATCGACCTTTCAGTGTGGATGCCCCCAGAAGTGGTGCTGTTCGGGTCCCGCGATGCCAGGAATCGCCCAGACCCACCCGAAGGGCCACGCAGGTGGTGCTCCTGGGTCTGTCTCAGCGCGGTCCCCACCAACGCCCAGGGAATTGTGTGCTGGAAACCGAACTTGTTTCGTGCAAGGCAGATGATGCTTTAAACCCCCTTTACTCTCTCTGGATCTACTTGAAAGTTTTTGATATTGCACAGGTCGATTAGCATTTCGTCCCGACTGTGCGCCGGCGTGTATTCTAGCAGGGCCTGGGGCGCCTTCGTGGGGCCCAGAATTTGAACTGGATGCACCAGAGGCGAGGCAGGAAAGGACCTTGACCCCTGAACGATCTCTCAAGCCCTTAGGACTTTCTTCGGATGTCAGTCTGTTGCCTGTCAAAATGATAGTTTGATTTCTTTTCCAATTTGAACGTTTTTTTTTAATTTCTTTTTTCATACCTGATTGCTCTGGTAAGGATTTCCAAAACTACATTGAATGATGATGGAGAAAGAGAATAGCCTTGACTTGTGCCTGAGCTCAGACAGAAGGCTTTAGTTTCTCGATATTCAATATGCTATTGGCTGTGGGTTATTGTACAAGACCTTACTCTTTTGAGGTACCTTGCTTCTATTCCTGTTTTGTTTTATCATAGATAAATTTTGTCAAAAACTTTCTCTGCATCTACTAATATGAAGTTATCTTTCCTTTTCTTAATGTGGTATGCTGTATTGCCTGATTTTCATTATTAATACCTCTGTCCGTTTTTGGTGTTAAAGTCACATTGGCTTCATAGAAATTGTAGAAAGAATTCTCACTTTTTAATATTTTAAAGAGTATAAGTAGTATACGTAATAAACCTTTATTGCAGATTTGGAAGAACTCTATAGTGAACCCATCTGGACCTGGAGTTTTTTCTTAGGGAGATTTCTAATTCCTCTCTCTCTCTCTCTCTCTCTCTCTCTCTCCTCTCCTCTCCTCTCCTCTCCTCTCCTCTCCACTCCTCTCCTCTCCTCTCCTCTCCTCACTCCTCTCTGCCCCCCCCTCAATTCTGGGCCTTATGGTTTGCAATATAGATGCTGAAATATTATCAGGCATATCCCTTTATCTACTTTCGACACTCTAGATACTTCCTATCCAAAATGATCATTTCCATCTATTGTCATATTGTCTCTTTATCCTAACTGCCCTTCGTCCCCCCTCCACTCCCCCCCACCAAGTTTCCAATCATTGACAAGTTTGTGGCAAGCTTCCAACCACTGACCAGACATTATATCCCACAAATGAATGCAGTCATTCTGTATCTGGCATGGTGTTTTTACGTTTGGGTTTATTTCGATTCCACTCTCTTTGAGCCTTCTGGATCAGTGCATCTCCTCAGGTTGGGGAAATTCTCAGTTATTATTTCTTCAGCTAGCCCCTTTCCCTTATTCCTTCTAAAATTCCTGTAATTCTGAGTTTTTTCCTTCTGATATTATCAACTATATCTCTTAAATTTTTTTATTTTGTTTTCTTTTTCTATTATTATTAAAGCACTGAGAGTGACATTTATAGTTGGGTTTTTAACATGCAGTGTTCCATCACTAATCCAGCGACCTGTGTCAATTTCCCTCTGCAAGTGTTCCCAGGCTCCCTCTCCTATCCTTCCCCCGCCCCTGCCCCTCCCTGCCACCTTGATGGGCATCTTTAAGTTTGGTTATTAAAGTTTGGGTCTTGCAGTTTCATTGTTGTTGACTCTGTGGTTTGGATATTTCGCTCTTTAATTCCTTGACACCACCGATGTACCTGAATCCCCTTGACTCCTGCCACTTGCCCCTCATCTTCCCCCCTTCATCTTCACTCTATTTCTTTCCTTGTTCCTCTATTTGGGGCCAAGGATGATCTAGACATCCCCCCCCCTTTATCTTTTTGTTTGTTTGTTTTTTGTTTTTTGGGTCACACCCAGCGATGCACAGGGGTCACTCCTGGCTCATGCACTCAGGAAACTCAGGAATTACTCCCGGCAGTGCTGGGGGGACCATATGGGATGCTGGGAATCGAACCCCGGGATGGCCGCGTGCAAGGCAGATGTCCTACCCGCTGTGCTGTCATTCCAGCCCCCTAGCCATCCCCCCTTTAAACCATTGCATTTCCTAGTTACTCTAAATACTGCATGTAAGTGATATTATTCTGTGTTTTGTCTTCTTTCTCTGGCTTACTTCATTTAACACAATGTCTTCCCACTCCATCTACTCAGCAGCAAATTGCACGTTAAATTCTTTTAATCCCAGTCACCTTACTATTACCTCTTTTTTAATTGACGGAGTTGTGTATCTTGTCCTCAGGGTCACTGATTAGATTTTCCGTTTCCTCTGTTCAGTTGCTGAGACTCGGTTCTGTATTCTATAGCTCCTTCAGTTCTACCTAAATAGTTTCTTTCATTTTTCCCATCACTCTCTTCAAGCTTATATATTGTCATTCAAATTATTTTTCAGATCATTTAGCTTTGAGAGTATTGTTATTAAGTTTTATTCAGGCATTTTAGAAAGATCTGATACAATTGAAGATCTTTTTAGACTTTTTGTCACCATCCACTGATAAAACTGATTTCCTTTTTTTTTTTCTTCCATTGTTCTAGGCCTGCATATAGCTAAAGATAGAGGTTCAGGTTACCACATGCAGAGTTCCAGTGTATTCCTGTGTTGGAGGGGTAGGGTGCAGGCCACTAGTCTTGAGGACTCCCTCCCATGGGTAGAGACCCCATACCATCTACCTCCATCTTGCAAGCAGGTGCCAGCCACTTAGGTTTCTGGGGTCTGTAAGCTTTCTTAAAACAGGATTCACACATTCAGAGCTGGAGTGATAGTACAGTGGATAGGGTGCTTGACTTCCATGTGGCCAACCTGGGTTTGAGCCCTGGCCCCCCAAGCCTGCCAGAAGTAACCCTGAGCCACTCTGGCTGTGACACAGATAAATAAAATGGGATCCACACATTAGACTTCTATAATCTTCATCACCCTTTCTATATGCCATTCCATATTAAATATTTTATTTTTTTCTCCTTTATCTAACTATAAGAGTTACTCTAAAATTTTCTAAGATGATCCAATTATTCTAACTTTCTGAAAGGAAAAAAGATTACGTGTGTATATGGGCATGGGTATTTGTAGGTTGTTTATAAGATGCTTATAAGATTTATAAGATTCTTCTAAGAACTCCATAATGATCTAGCTAAAAAGTTACCTGATACTAGATAAGAGCAATTAATTACATAGTGAACTGCAAGACTGCAAGATACTGAAAGATACCGCCAGGCTTGATGATTTAAATAATAACAGCATTAATCACAGGTGTTCACCATCAGTCACCTCCAGTGGCTAGACCAGTGGTTTCTATGTTTGGACAAAATAAGTGTTGCCTGGGAACTTGTTGGAAATTGTTAGAATACCTCACAAGTTCAAGGTCCTCATGCTACACTTAATCTAAGTTTGGAACTTGGACTTAGAAATCTATATTTTATCAAACTGACTGATTTGGATGTGCAACAAAATTTGAGAATCACTTGGTAAGTATAAAAAATGGATGCAGGAATTGTACATTTCCTTTATGGTATTTACTACAATTTCAGTGAACTTTTGTGTATGATTGGTTTATTATCTTTTTCTTGTATTAGATGTGATAACTAGTTAGGGACCACGACTATTTTATCTATGGCTTATATTATTCCCAACACCACCTAGCAATACATAAAAGTTAATTGACAAGTATAGTGAGCTTTGTTAACTAGAATATGGTTTGCTGAATGTGATGGAGCTCAAAGAAATAAAATATTTTACCATCCTCCCCAGTATAGTTGAGAAAACAAATTGCTGGAGACACCACACAT